AGTTTGGTAAAGAACATGGAATAATTCATCAAACCACCACTCCTTACTCATCTCAGCAAAATGAAATTGCTGAAAGAAAAAATAGGACTTTAAAAGAAATGATGAATGTCATGCTAATAAGTTCTGGATTACTTCAAAACTTGTGAGAAGAAGCAATACTTTCTGCTAATTATATACTTAACAAAGTACCCCGGAAGAAAGTAAATCAAATACCTTATAAAATGTGGCATGAGAGAGTACCATCATACAAATACTTACAAGTGTGGGGGTGTTCGGCTAAAGTGACTGTTCTAAAAAGACTAAGATAGGTCATAAAACTGTTGATTGCATTTTCATTGGTTATGCTAAGAATAGTAGTGCATATCGATTTTTTATTCATAAATCAGAACATTCTGAAATGCATGTAAATACTATTATTGAATCTCGGAATGCATCATTCTTTAAATATGTATTTCCGAATAAAACTGGACAAGAGACTAGTACCAATAAAAGGTCTTATGATGCTATTACTAGTCATGATCAAGAACAAGATCAAGAATAAGAGCAAGAGATAGATCAAAATGAGAAAGAGGAACCTAGGCATAGTAAACGTGCTAGAACCTCAAAATCTTTTGGTCCAGATTTTCTAACATTTTTGTTAGAAAATAAGCCTTTGACTTTCAAAGAAGCTATGTCCAGTCCTGAGGCTCCTTTATGGAAAGAAGCTATAAACAGCGAAGTTGAATCCATCCTGCAAAATCACGTTTGGGAATTGATGGATTTGCCACCAGGTTGTTAACCCCTTGGGTACAAGTGGATTTTCAAGAGAAAAATGAAAGAAGATGGATCAATTGATAAATACAAGGTGAGACTTGTGGTCAAAGGATTTAGACAAAAAGAAGGTCTTGATTACTTTGACACACACTCACCAGTTACAAGAATAACATCCATTAGAATGCTAATTGCCATTACATCTTTGTACAATATAGAAATTCATCAAATGGATGTGAAAACCGCTTTTTTAAATGGTGAGTTAAATGAAGAAATTTACATGGAACAACCAGAAAGATTCTCTGTTCCAGGAAAAGAAAAAAAAAGTGTGTAAATTGGTTAAATCATTATATGGTTTAAAACAAGCGCCAAAGTGGCATGAAAAATTTGACAAAGCAATGATGTCAAATGGATTCAAAATTAATAAATGTGACAAATATGTTTATATTAAAAACATAAGCAAGGGTTATGTTATAGTATGTCTTTATGTGGATGATATGCTCATCATAGATAGTAATAATGATATGATTAAAACTACTAAGAAAATGTTGAATAAACATTTTGAGATGAAAAACATGGGGATTGCTGATGTAATACTTGGTATGAAAATTACCAAATATCAGAAGGTTATGCTTTGTCACAATTACATTACATTGAGAAAATACTTGACAAATTTAGCAAAGATGATGACAAAGATGACGATCATCTTGCTAGAACACTTGTGGACGTTAATTTGCTTCTTTCCAAGAATGTACAGGAAAGTATTTCTCAATTAGAGTATGCCCAGATTATTGGAAACTTAATATACTTGATGAACTGCACTCACCCAAATATAGCCTATGCAGTAAGTAAATTAAGTAAATATATGAGTAATCCAGGAATAGAATACTGGAAAGCAATTATAAGGGCTCTAAGATATCTCTGATTTACTCATAACGTTTAACTAAATTATACTAAATATTCAGTAGTACTTGAAGAATACTGTCATGCAAACTGGATATCGGATACTAGAGACTCAAAATCCACTAGTGGGTATGTCTTTACTCTTGGTGGGGCGGCTATATCTTGGAAATCTTCTAAACAAAGTTGCATTGCTAGGTTTACTATGGAATCATAATTTATAGCTTTAGATAAAGTTGCGGAAAAGGAAGAATGGCTTCATCATTTCTTTGAAGATATTTCAATGTGGCCAAAACCGGTGCCTTGCATACATTGTGATAGTCAATCAGCAATTGGTAGAGCACAGAGTCATATGTATAACGGTAAGTCGCGACACATTCGTCGTCGACATAACACTGTGAGACAACTACTCTCTAATGGAATTACTTCCATAGAATATGTTAAGTCTAAAGACAACATAGCAGATCCACTAACCAAAGGGTTAGCAAGAGAGTTAGTTGAGAATTCATCGAGGGGAATGGGACTTAAGCCTATTAAATAAGAGTTACCACAACGGCAACCCAACCTAGTTGACTGGAGATCCCAAGATCTAGGTTCAAAGGGACAACCGAGTTGTGATTGACTCAGAAGGATCACTGTGGAGTCCAACTCCTACCCATTTCTATGATGAAATAAGTGATGTCTGCAGCGATTTAGGTTAAGTAATACTTTTAATAATTCTTATATCTAGGTAAACCTAGTGGAGTATGGCAGGATACTCTTCATAAGAATCACCTATGTGAGTGTGAACTGGGCCGGTTCTATAAGATTTGTGAAGGGCTACAAATCTTTAGAGCACTCATGAAAGACCAGGTTGTTCAGGGCCAAAATGAACACAATAGTGAGAACTAAACTGTGTCTGGGAATATACTGTGTGAAACTTTGTCCAACAGTTACTTTTTCAAAAGTTTGAATAAAAGTGTTCAATGGCAAACGGTCAGAATCTGTTTAAAACATGTTGCACCTGTTCGGACCGCAATATTTGTCTATAAATACAAATCCATTTCCAGCAGTCCAGGATGATCCGAAAAATTCAGTCTGAAATTTTTGTCTCTTTGCTGTCCATTTTGTTCTAGTGCATTTATTCTTCATATATTAGTTTTAGAATAAATATTCAAA